CTTTGACCCGGGCCTCAGGCCGAAACATGAATATATCCTAATTTTTTATGGTAGTAAGCCAAGCTTCAGACAGGTAACTTCCTTAAGCCGACGCTTACTGAAGAGTTCGGATCCTGAATACGAAGCCAATAAGCATTTGTCGTAATTATTGCAGGCTTTGGATCACTATAGGCGTATGTAGAGACATTGTCTTTATGTATTATGAAGGAATAATGCCAGCGTTCCTGCTATGATGTATATATAATGTTCCTCGTTGCTGGACATAAATTCTTACCTAATCCTGGGAAGCTGGAGCTGGATTCATTTGTCTACGAACACCACACCCAGATCTCCCGTTAGCACTGGTTCGTTTGCAAACATCAGACATTGGCCCCTGGTTCCCATCGGCTCCTTCACAAGCGCTATATTCGCTTCCTGGTTTTTATTGGTTCTTTCACAAACACGGGTCTCTAGTTTCTGGCTTCCGTAGATTCTCTCACAAACACCAGGCCCTGATGCCTGTCCCCGATTGGTTCCCTGGTAAAAAGCTAGCCTGAAGCCGCCTGGTTACAGAGTCTAGTTTCTGTTTCCCATAGGCCTCTGTTACACACCAGACTCGGGCTCCTGCCTCTCATTGGTTTACTCACAAAACACTAGATACTAGTTCCTGGCTCATATATTTAAAGGATAAGCAGGGATTACAGAACAAGTCAAGACCTGGTGTATGGCAGGCTTCGTGCTCAATTGTGTTTTTTTTTTTGCATGAAGCTTTTGCTGAATTTGTTTAGTCATGGAATATGACGTATATATTTTCTTGGAAAACTTCATATTATCGACATGTCCACATGCATCAGATTTCTTCTGTAATAGACGTGTCATTACCAGGTTTGTCAAAAACCAACATGTGGATAAGCGCTGGCTGCTAACACGATTTCATTTGAGTTTCCGTTTTCTGGACTTTCTGATGTGACGGTATGCTGGGTTATATTCCTTTTTGATTCCTCCAAAGTGGATCTTGGCTCGTGATGAATACCCACACCTAGTGTCCCAGTGCTGAATCCCGGTTCCAGCTGGATCTCCAACGCGATGCCAAACTGGGCCAGAATCAAGAGCCCGAAACCAGTTCCCAGGAATGAATTTTAGGAACCAGGCACACCATTGCCTATCCGAATGCGTTCACAAACGTGAACAGTCTTCTCGCCCAGGTTTGGCCAGGATCCGAACGAGGACCTTCGGCATGGTGATTAAGCGCACGTTCTGCTACCACCCCGCTTGTCCCACTCCCCCGCACAAGGCGTGCTGCTGGCTGATCACATCGATCGCATCGATCGTATTGATTAGTCGAATTCCACGTGTTCAGAACGTATGAAGGCATCTTCGCTTTGGTCCACTGAAGCTCCCGCTAATTTGCATTGTGCGATGTCATAATCGCCCAGCATTTGTGCCTTAGTACTTTCATATTGACTCATTTGGTCTGTTTGTGATCCAATTTTCGGTAATGCACGAATCAAAAGGCGTGCAAACCGGCCTGTGAGAGCGTTCGTTAATACCACATTCGCAGCTGACTCATGTCTGTCTGGAGCTAGCTGACTGCCGCCTTCCTATGACCAGCTGACTGACTCCTGTCTGTGACCAGCTGACTGACTTCTGTCTGTGACCAGCTGACTGACCTCTGTCTGTGACCAGCTGACTGACCTCTGTCTGTGACCAGCTGACTGACCTCTGTCTGTGACCAGCTGACTGACCTCTGTCTGTGACCAGCTGACTGACCTCTGTTTGTGACCAGCTGACTGATCTCTGTCTGTGACCAGCTGACTGACCTCTGTCTGTGACCAGCTGACTGACTTCTGTCTGTGACCAGCTGACTGACTTCTGTTTGTGACCAGCTTACTGACCTCTGTCTGTGACCAGCTGACTGACCTTTGTCTGTGACCAGCTTACTGACCTCTGTCTGTGACCAGCTGACTGACCTTTGTCTGTGACCAGCTTACTGACCTCTGTCTGTGACCAGCTGACTGACCTCTGTCTGTGACCAGCCGACAAACCTCTGTCCGTGACCAGCTGACTGACTTCCATCGGTAACCAGCTGACTGGCCTCTGCCTGTGACCGGCCGACTGACTTCTGTCAGTAACCAGCTGATTGATGCCTGGTTCTAGCTAGCTGATTAGCGTCTGTATGCATCCAGCTGACTGATATCTGCCTGTGGTCAGCTGGCTGCTGTCTCACGCAATCAGCTGACTGACGTTCACCCGCTAAGTGATGACAGTGTATGGTGTATAGAGCTCTTAATGGATTGATTAAATCCATGGCTATCGGCAAGGTCAATGACTGTATATGCCGTATATAGGCTGTATAGATATATAGGCTGTATATAAGACAGATGTGGAAGACCTCCAAGCGAGACGGATGATGACTAGATTGGATTCAGTACTCCGCACAGCCTGTATTAATATGCAGTGGATGAGCTGGGTGTACGATGTCAGTTTAAGGAGCGGCAAATGTGAATATTACGGTTAACTACAACATGTCATGCGGGACCAGACTGAAAGGCACTGGGCTGGAACACCTTAGATTAAGAGGCTATTAAAGTATTTTTTCAGACAGATTGCACAAAAAAAACAATGTTCCTCTCTCCAATGGAACCTTTCGACCACTTTGTCTTCACATAGGAGCTCGGTCACGAGCCCCAGCGGCGGTCAATGACGTGCGGCTCGCTCTGACATATTCGCATATTCCCGTCATTGTACCCTGCCGATAAGCCCATGCGTGTGCCCGGTCAGCACCAACACTTGATGTGATGGGATGCGACCGGGCAAGCCTGCAATCTTGGGAGGCTGAAATTAGAAAGATCTTTGGCTAAATTCTTGTTTTTTCGGTACGTGTACGGCTCATGCTATTCTCACTGGTAGAGCACTTTAGCAGCTCAGCAACCTCGATTTGCAATAGACGACGATGTTATGAGGGACATTGCGACATGGTCGCATGGGTGTCTTTCGCCAAAAATTAGAACCGTTTTTCTTAAGAAGAAAAATAAGCTTCATACAACACGTGTCGTTTTTAAAATTGATTCCATCGAAACGTAAAACGCACGTCACACAGTGTGTTATTAACGGAGCCAATGCGTGATAAATTATATCAATAATCTCGCACATGAACCCATTTAAGTCATCAATAACTTTCAATAACAATGATATTCTCAAGATTCTACGATGATGTAAAAATGGGTCCATGCTGTTAAAATCATTGAGCCACGTATCGAATATGTTGGCAGCTGGAGTATGCGGTGCAGGTTCCAGAGCCGCCTGTGATCCAACCCTGAGTCCGCCCCTGCAGATGGCGTATTCGGTGTAGGCTCCAGAACCGCACGTAGCTGTTCCCGGAGTCCGCCCCTGCAGCTGGAGTGTACGGTGTAGGTTCCAGAACCCCCTGTAGTCTGTCCCTGAGTCCGCCCCTGCAGCTGGAGTATGCGGTGTAGGCTCGAGAGCCGCCTGTGATTCAGCCCTGAGTCCGCCCCTGCAGCTGAAGTATGCGGTGCATGCTCCAGAGCCGCCTGTGAGCCAGCTCTGAGTCCGCCCCTGCCTGCAGCTGGAGTATGCGGTGTAGGCTCCAGAACCGCCTGTGATCCAGCCCTGAGTCCGCCCCTGCAGCTTGAGTATTCGGTGTAGGCTCCATAACCGCACGTAGCCGGTCCCTGAGTCCGCCCCTGCAGCTGGAGTGTGCGGTGTAGGTTCCAGAACCCCCTGTAGCCGGTCCCTGAGTTCGCCCCTGCAGCTGGAGTGTGCGGTGTAGGTTCCAGAACCCCCCGGTCGTCGGTACCTGAGTCCGCCCCTGCAGCTGGAGTATTCGGTGTAGGCTCCAGAACCGCACGTAGCCGGTCCCTGAGTCCGCCCCTGCAGCTGGAGTGTGCGGTATAGGTTCCAGAATCCCCTGTAGTCGGTACCTGAGTCCGCCCCTGCAGCTGGAGTATGCGGTGTAGGCTGCAGAACCGCCTGTAGTCGGTCCCTGAGTCCGCCCCTGCAGCCGGAGTATACGGCGCAGGCTTCAGAACCGCCTGTGGTTCGTCCCTGAATTCGCCCCTGCAGCTGGAGTATGCGGTGTAGGCTGAAGAACCGCCTGTGGTCGGCCCCTGAGTCCGCCCCTGCGGCTGGAGTATGCGGTGTAGGCTGAAGAACCGCCTGTAGTCGGTCCCTGAGTCCCCCCTGCAGCTGGAGTATGCGGCGCAAGCCTCTGATTGCCGATAAGGGACGTCCACTCGTCGTAAACGGCGCCCATTGCGACAAACGAGTACCGTCATCCCCTGATTGCCGAGAGAACTGGGCCCCGGAGAGCCGACTCGTCGCGGCCTCACGCAAACGCTCTCCGATAGGCTCGTGTGACGGACGGCACAGCAAACGTGACGGAGAGTAAGCGCCAGTCGTTGGTTCTTCTCATGGAGGTGTATATCTCATAGATTATATCATTTTTATTCTTAGTTAGACATGCACTGTGTTTGTTGTAGCAGTGGCTGGCCACTGTTCCTTGTTAAATCCCCTGAATGCTGGTCTCCTGCAAAAACTGTGGGCTCCTGTTTCAAAAAAAATCTGAAAAATGGAGTGGAATCATCGGCAGGCAATTTTGAATCCGCTTCCGCCATCTTTTCGATAAAGTCATGTTGCTGAAATATGAACACACCCATATTTCAATTTTCCTGTGTTTTCTCCGAGGAATGAGGCTATTACTTCTGTCTTATTTATGTGAATAATGTTCCACGCCTGCGTTGAAGAACTTCCGTAATTTTAGACGCAATGGAGTCTGCTCGCTGTCAGAGAGCTTCTTAACGAACTCCAATCTCTCAAATCCAACCCGATCCAGGCACTTGCGATACGCTCACATCATCAACGCATCATCAAGTTACATTGTCAGAGACCGGGGCCTTCTTTTTGCTATTCAAAACGCACGGCCGCAATCTAAAAGCGTAGGACTCCCGTGACTGCGTGAAAGGAGTGCTGCAGTGGTCGAGGGTGCGGCGCGGTCGCGGAACCGGAACCGCTCCTCGCTAGCAGTGGTCGAGGGTGCGGCACGGTCGCGGAACCGCTCCTCGCTAGCAGTGGTCGAGGGTGTGGCGCGGTCGCGGAACCGCTCCTCGCTAGCAGTGGTCGAGGGTGCGGCACGGTCGCGGAACCGGAACCACTCCTCGCTAGCAGTGGTCGAGGGTGCGGCGCGGTCGCGGAACCGGAACCGCTCCTCGCTAGCGGTGGGCGAGGGTGCGGCGCGGTCGCGGAACCGGAACCGTTCCTCGCTAGCAGTGGTCGAGGGTGCGGCGCGGTCGCGGAACCGGAACCGCTCCTCGCTAGCGGTGGGCGGGGGTGCGGCGCGCTCGCGGAACCGCTCCTCGCTAGCAGTGGTCGAGGGTGCGGCGCGGTCGCGGAACCGGAACCGCTCCTCGCTAGCAGTGGGCGAGGGTGCGGCGCGGCCGCGGAACCGCTCCTCGTTATGTGTGCGCAAAGATAAGAGCCCGATGGCTCTGTGAGGTGCCTTCGGTGACAGGTCAGGCGTCAGGTCAGGTCGGATCGGGTCGGTGACCTAAGGTTAGGCGTTATGGAGTCCGACACTCAGCGAACACGGACCGCATCACGGTTGCGTAGTAGACATCGAAGCGAAGTAAACAGGAATGCCTTTCAACTTCGATTGAGCAATGGTGGCTCTGCGTTAGCATGAAGGTCTCGCCCAGCCGGCGCATCCCATTGCATTCCGTAACAGCGGCGAATTCACCGTTTGGTTCAAGTGACTTGATATGACTTTCCCCACAAACACGGCTTGTAACTAGAGCGGCAACAAAATAATTACAGGAAAACCACGTTCACAAGCCTGTCTACTTAAGCATGACCCCAATATAATCGCTTGGTACACCGCAGCCAATGGCTGTGTCCTTCTGCGCAAACGTCATACATCGCTCGCGTTTTTTTACTGCTGACACTTGTCAGAAACCCTGCAAGAAATTGGCTGAGACCCGACGTTAAAAACAGACGAGCACTGGCTGTCACCGCCGCCGCCGCCGCAGTCGCTGCTCTTACGAGGATGAACTGGGCGGGCCTTGGCTTCCCAGATGTCGCTCAGTATCCGCCGACCTGGTTTGATTTACTAGCCCCTCGGGCGGCAGCGTTTCATAATGGATCCCCGTCGCGTATGAGCGGCTTTGCTGGACCACGCCAGGTGGTGTGCACGAGATGTGATGTTGAGTGGTGTGTCATGATGAGTGAGTGATGTCAGGTGATGTGAGTTCTCTGGACTTCACATAGCTCGGCAGGGGGAAAATAGTGGCTATTTGACCGAGTTATAAAAGTGGTCCCTGACAAACACAAGCGTAACCAATATACTGAAGATCACCTTGGTTGTCACAGATGATCACAAATAGCCATTTGACTCTGACTGAAATACATCAAATCAACGGATGCCATATCAAGGTGATTTTTAGGTAGACCTTTTAGCTGTAGGTAGAGGATACGTAAGAACATCCTAGCATGTGCATGCTGGATGTTCTGTGTATACGTTGCATGCACACTGACGCGATGCAGGGGGCTGCATGCGTAGAAATATTTCAAACATCTGCTGCCAAACTATCTGCTAAATTTTTCAACCGCTCATACCGATAGTCTTTGATGCACGTGCAAACCAGCGATTTTTTAGGGTGAACAAATCTCTCCTTGGCCCAAAACAATTGAAGCATCGACGAGGTCTTCAGAAATAGACACGTGCGTCTTTCCGGAAAGGGAGCTCATGATTCGGCAACATTTGACGAGCCTTCATAGGGTTGAACGCTTGTTAAATAAACGCAGGTTTCGGCTACGTGAAGTCACCTTTATTCATATTTCTTCCATTTGGGCTCACTTCAAGCCCTTCGACGAAATCAAACGACTGAGCTTGGGCCTGAGCGCGGCTACTTCTCTTAAACCCCAGTTTCTGGGTGCAACTCACCTCTGGGAGATTCCGACAGAATCCCCTGAGCTATTCTACGCCTACCCGGAAGCCTGCCGTATATTGCAACGCGCTAGAAGCCTGACAACTCCGCTGACATCGGTAAGCCCAGACACCGGCAGCGCAGGCTCGGTCCATTCACATCTATCGACGCTGATCCAGCCAGTCGCAGGTCAACACCATCGATTTTGTCTTGCGCCTGGCCCGTGGCGTTGAACCCCTACAAAAGTCGCGGCGGCCTTTGGCACGCGCAGGGGCGCCGCCAGGCATCGATCGGGAAGGGCGAAACCGAGCGAGGGAGAGAGGCGCCGCTTTAAATCAGGCGGGGCGGCTCCAACTCCACGTGGCGGCGTGCCAGGCCGTAAAACCGAGGCCCGCTCCCCCCCCCCCCCCTCACCCACCCTCCCCGCGGCGCCACGCCACTGCCTTCTCCCCTCCTAGCCTTCCGTCGTCTCTCACAGTGCGTCACTGATCAATCCTATTAGCGCCTCTGGCGGCGTGATGATCGGTTGAAATTATGGCCAGCGTCGGCGGCGGGCGGCGTCCCGCCGGCACCGGTGCCTCCTGGGAGACCATCAGGCCGCCGCTGCCGGCTTAACCCGGTCCGACGGCTGCCAGAGGGGAGGGAGGGGGGGGGGGGGGGGCGGAGGAGGAGGAGGCGACGCGGGCCGGGCGGGCCACTCGGCCGGTCAGTGCGGAGCCGGCGGCACCGGCCACGGGCGCACGGCAAGGGCCGAGGTGAGAGGACCACGGACGGGGTGAGAAGACCACGGGCGGAGGTGAGAGGACCACGGACGGAGGGAAAAGGATCACAGATGAAGGTGAGAGGACCACGGACGAAGGCGAGAAGATCGCGGACGGAGGGGAAATAACCACTGACGGAGGTGAGATGATCACGCTCGAAGGTGAGAGGATCACGGACGAAGGGGAAAAGATCACGGACGGAGGTGAGAACACCACAGACGGAGGGGACAGGATCACGGATGGAGGGAAAGGACCACGAACGGAGGTGAGAAAACCACAGACGAAGGGGAAAGGATCGTGGACGGAGGTGAGAGGATCATGGACGGAGGTGAGAGGACCACGGACGGAGGGGAAAGGACCAATGACGGACGTGAGAGAACCGCTGACGGAGGTGAGAGGATCATGGACGGGGGTGAGAGAATTGGGGTCGGAGATAAAAGCATCACGGACGAAGGTGAGATGACCACGAATCGAGGTCGGAGAATCATGGACGAAGGTGGAAGGATTAAGAATAGCAATGAAAGGATGACGAACAGAGGTGAGAGGATCATGGACTGAGGTGAGAGGATCAAGGAAAGAGGTGAGAGGATTACGGACGGAGGTGAGAAGGCCACGGACGGGAGTGAGAGGATCACGAACCGATATAGAGCGTTGCAACTGAGGCGAAAGAACAATAAACGGAGGTGAGAGGACTACGGGTGCAGGTTTGAGGACTGTGGGCGGTAGTGAGGAGGCCACGGACGCGGCTTATGCTCTTGTACAAATTCAAGATGAAAATGAATAATGGGGATTTTGTGTCAACCGCAACACCTAAATCAAACATCGTGCTCAAATGAACAACATTGCTTTGTAAACCTCACGTCATGTAGCCCAAATATGTAAAAAATAAGCCACAGACCACTGTTCGGGTAAGGTGCCAAGAAATGTCCATAGTCTCCCGATGACCAGTAGGCCTCAGGCGCCTCCCAAAGTTTTCGGAGATGAATTTACATCCACCAAATGCATCACGCTGATTTTTTGAGCAGCTGTTTTAAGACCATGGCTGCACCTTTGCGGAAGATTAGAAGAAGTGGATTTTTGCAGACCAAAGGAATATCTCAATTCAAGTCATGTCAGCCGCACTTACTGTGAGGCAGCCAATGACAGAAGTTTGTCAAAGAAGATGCATTGTAGGAAAAAACTTCTTATTTGCACGGATCCGCAGTATCTTTATGTCAAAGCTCATGATAGTATTTGATGCGAGATGGGTCAACTTATCTGACGTAAAGCTAGCCAAACCCCGCCAAAATACGGAATCGTGGCTGAAATTATGTTTACAGCTTCTTACTTGATTTAACATATTCTTGACCCTATCAAACAATACGCAGGGACGTACTCAAGAAGGGTACCTGGGGCGTGCGTCTTCCCGTTATGAAACGTCGTAGGCGTTGGTAGGCGTGTAAGCATACATTGACAGTAAATATATTTAAATTAACGTGTATAAACTGCGGAACAAAAACAGGAAAGTTTGTAAAAACCATGCGATAAGCTTGCGCGCCCGCAGCACACCAAGACGGTGTTTTCAACTCCACCTTTTATGTGATGGCCTCAATGGGAAATCCTGCAAGCAGCTCCGACAATACGTGGTTTAGCTTCTCAAAAGCTATGTAGTATCGTGATGATTTCATTCCCGCGTCCTGTCAGGTCGTGTATGTGTATGTATCTTCAGATAGCGTGGTTAGGGGTACATGCGAACAATGTTTGACCCACGTGACCCGCTGTGCTGTGCGGTGGCTCATGCCCACTGATGGGTCATGATTCTATAACCATCTATATATGTATATGCATGAGTGCATGAGTTGCCACGCCAAGAGGTTGACAATGTCGCTTTGCACAAGTCAAACTACGCGTGCTCTAAATGCAAAAAGGGGATTAAAGTCAGAATCTTCACCCCACTGACTTCGTTTTGCTCGTCAAAGAATGATTGCGCTGATGTTGAATGACACTGATCTGGCCCAGCATTACGTAAATATTCGGTGCTGCTTTACGCTTGGCTTTATCGAGCTTAAGTGATGTCCGACGACCGGTAGAGCTTTTGGCTTGACAAAAAAGAGACATCACGTTCGCCCAGAGAGTTAAACGTCCGAATATATCCTGATTCCCGACGAGTCTTGGGTCTGTCTTCCCATGCCGCAATATTGAACCTGGATTCTCCCCTTTCCAACTATAAGCAAGCAAACAGCCGACGAGTCTTGGGTTTGTCTTCCCATGCTGCAATATCGGACTTGGATTGTCTTGCTCATCCCTTTCCAACTATAAGCAAAAGAACAACCGGCAACCGAGCTTGCTTCGAGACCCTCCGCACGGCATAAATCGTGAAGATGGGATCCGACGAGGAGCTTGTCAGTCCGAGAGCCTTTTACTAAAGGCCGAAAATTAAATCTGATGCACATTTCGAAATTGCTTTGTGATGTATAGCCGCGTTCATGTGGCTGAATTCTGATTTGAGCATACAGATGTCTTGGCCATCATGGCCTGGATATAACGGAGAAGATTGATTTCGTTCTCGTAGATTATAGCTGAGTGACATTTTAGGCGATTTCGTCCAAAAAAAGGTGGAACTGGTCTCAAGCAATTATGTGCAAACACGTAGGGCGCTATCGTCATCAGGCCATTTCTTATAAAGGTAACGGTAACAACGGTAACGGTAACGGTAACGGTAATATCGGTAACGCGACGCGTTACACTGCTCGCTTCGTAAGAAAACGCCAACCATAACGGTGGTTATAGCGCGCGAGGTTACTGACCTGGTAGAGCATTCTCTTAACTTGAACGGCACGGCCGAGCCCGGTCATCACGCTTTTAGAAGAGAGTAAGTTTTCAGCCGCTGATATACCTCAGCGTCGCGCGGCTCATACCCACAGCAAGCCTGAC